TTTTCTTATAGAATGTGGCCTGTAGAATCCATAATTTCAAACAGTTCCAAGATTGGGCTACTAGTTCAAAAGTTACAGCCCTTTGAATTTTCTTTCGAAATTGGTTTCTAGTCTATAACTTTTTATTGAGAAGTCTGATCGGAAAAGTACGAATTGTTTTGGATTCTACGCACCAAAATTAATAAGAAAAAGTGTTTTCCCGAGAAATTTTGGTGCAGTCGATTTTTGGTAAAAAAGGAAGGTTATACACTGCTTTTTTTTGAGCCCCGAAAAAAAAATTGTCTCAGATCCACCCGGAAAAAAAAATTCTTATAGAATGTGGGCTGTAGAATCCATAATTTCAAACAGTTCCTTGTTCTTCCAAGGGCTTTAAATAAACTCCTATGCATAAGAAGTTACGAATTGCAAAAATAAATGTTTTCTGTTCATTGAGCATGATGTGTTGCCTACAAACCAGGCTACCTACAGAAGAGTTTTATACAGGGCGAGTTTCATGTTCACTATCTCGTAAACCGTAAGAGATGGGCAAAGATATTCAGAATTACATGCTGATTAATTTTTCCCGTTCATTTGTAGTTCCACAAATATCGAAGCCATGACCAAAAAACCGAGAAATATCATTTTCGAAAAGGCGCAGGAGTTCGCATTTTCAAATCGCATAAATTCATTATTCCGTCTTGATCACTATGGCACTATTTTGGAGGTTATCGAGGTTATGATAATTTTAAATCTACAGTATTTTAAATTGAAACCAGTGCTACCAACTACAAACTTTCCGATTGGTATATTTATATTTTATTTACGCGGTGCCGAGAAATGGGAAGTAATTCCGCAGTCGATTATCTAATTTATGCCAAAATTAACTTATTCAAAATTGCAAATGCTTTCCACTTTGACAAGAATTTTTGAATAAATTTCGAATTCAATCGCAGGTCTACCAACTCAGTTTTCGAATTTTTAAATTGGCGTCTCAACCTTAAGTCATTTTTGAGCAAATTTTGCAAAAATGGCCGAATTTATTGTTAACTGCAATTTGTGTTTATTAAGATACAGTCCGAATGTATCTTTTTACGTGACAACATGTGGACATATGAAATGTGAACCTTGCACAGCAAAATCAGGTACCTATGCCCAATTAATTCTGTATAAAGTTCCATTTTCTTGTCCTTGCAGATGATAAGACAAAATGTGCAGTATGCAAATCACCTGCTCAGTTAATACCGATAAATAACAACCTCAACCCGGAAATGCTACCATTCTTTCGTCCACTAAGCTATAGTGTGGACCAAGCGAAACAGGTTCAGAAAATACATGGTAAAATCGTGTTACTTACAGCTCGTGTTGCAGATATCCAAATTTCAAGACCAAAACAAGACTATAATTATAAAAAACTTGAAGAACAAGTGTAAATTTGTAAAAGGAGAAATGGTTAAATGTTACGGAGCGCTACACGACTTAAAACGAGAGAATGCCTCGCTTCATTTGCAGCTACAGGTAATTTCAATTGAAAGCTTAATTTTTAAGGTTACCTTTGCAGAATATGCTGAAAGCCGCATCTGGAAACAAATCGGTACCGAACAGACCTCCGATATTTCCTACATCCGATTGTTCGGCGTCCTCATCGATTTTTTCCATTCAGCCGAATGCTCTCGGAAGCAACCCCACGCTATTCCCTCAATCGACGACACCTTGGACAAATGCTTCGCATATCGGAGCTCGCATGAACGCGCATCGACCGTTTAATGTAAGAATTTCCATACCGAGATATCTAGATAGGTTGATGAATGTTTTTCAGCCCCGACAAACCTTCATGACACCCTCCGCATCGTCAGTGGCTGATGATTCGTCCGAGAGTTGTTTCGATCGAAGACCGTTAAGGGGTAGAATTCACCCAGTAATGATGCCGATTCGAAACCTAAAGAAGTAAATCCAGCTGCGACCCACACGATCTATGATTATTACGTTGTTTGTGTTACATCATGAATTTAATTTAACTTTAGGTTTAATTAATTAATTTTTGTTTTGGAAGTAGGTGTAGGTATCACATTAAGTTTTATGCAATTTACGACAATATTTCACTATACTTTTTGAGTTTGTATTATATGTCACTCTTTATCTGAATCAACTTGATGAAATGTAGGGACGCACAGAGGCAAATAAAAGAAATTTCAACAAAATCTGTTATTATTATTATTATATTGTTGTTTGTGTAATGAAGGGTGTGTTGGAAGGGTTGGCATTTTTAATAATAATGGAAGTAGCTAATTAAATAGGAGTATTAATTATTATGGTCAGAACTCATTATTAAGATGCGAAAAATCTACTGTAAACTCACCTTTCATTAGAAACGTTCCTCTGTAATCTACGCCTGACGATCATAGAGGGTGGCATGACAGCATTCAGTCTGATCTGGTCATCTTCCGCGTTCGAGGGCAGAGCTGGACAGAATACTTTTACGTCCAGCACAAGCGAATACTAGAAACAATTACATTGAAAAGTATTCAAATACTTTAGAATGTATTCGAATACTTTCAAAAGTATTCGAATTTGAAAGTATTTTGGTGTAGTCGATTTTTGGTAAAAAAGGAAGGTTATACACTGCCTTTTTTTGAGCTCCGAAAAAAAAATTGTCCCAGATCGACCCGGAAAAAAAATTTTCTTATCGAATGTGGCCTGTAGAATCCATAATTTCAAACAGTTCCAAGATTGGGCTACCAGTTCAAAAGTTACAGCCCTTTGAATTTTCTTTTCGAAATTGGTTTCTAGTCTATAACTTTTGATTGAGAAGTCTGATCGAAAAAGTACGAATTGATTTGGATTCTACGCACCAAAATTAATAAGAAAAAGTGTTTTCCCGAGAAATTTTGGTGTAGTCGATTTTTGGTAAAAAGGAAGGTTATACACTGCCTTTTTTTGAGGCCCGAAAAAAAAATTGTCTCAGATCGACCCGGAAAAAATTTTTCTTATAGAATGTGGCCTGTAGAATCCATAATTTCAAACAGTTCCAAGATTGGGCTACTAGTTCAAAAGTTACAGCCTACTAGTTCAAAAGTTACAGCTCTTTCAATTTTTTTTCGAAATTGGCAATCCCGCAGCAAAATCTCAATCCCGGTATTTGCGGGATTGTTAGATGTTAATCCCGCGGGATCCCGGTATTTGCGGGATCTCGCAAAACTTTAAATAAATTGGCAAATAAGCAATTTTGTGCGGTTAACTTCTGTATTAAAATAAATCGCTAATTATCACAATATTCAACAAAAAAGTACCCACCTTCAGCCTAACTTAGAACTCAAAAAAATCACCTGTAAAGCACAAAAAGGTGAACTTCTAAAGTGCCTCAAAAATCACAGTACATTTTTAACGAAAAAAGTTTAACAATAATTTTAAAAATAATTTCTCCGTTATGTGTTTCATTAACAAAGCAGAGTCGTCCCCTTGGTCGACAAATTTCCTCAGTCCCGCAAATCTCGCGGGATCCCGCTCCATTTATGTGCGGGATCTCGCAATCCCGGTATTGCATTCCCTACTATTGATCCAGAGGCAACTCTATCCAAAATCGTTGACGTTGGAGAGAAATTTCTTGTGAAACTGTATGAAGGTATCATCGAACTTGACAATGTTGAAGACCTGAAATGTTTTCCACTGTAAACTTGCCAGACCGCCACCAACCAGAGTAGATGATCAATGCATGTTCTGGACCAGGAAGTGACGTCACACCAATAAGAGACGAGTTCATGAAGTCACAGCCGTTCACGCCCTCCTACGCCCCTCCCTTTCAGGTTCGTAAAGCGATTCAATGGCTGGTTCAACAGGTTCGTGAAAGGGCCCAAGAGCTTTTCCACCCGGTTCAACAGCTATGTTGGACCGTTTTACGAACCTGAAAGAGAAGGGCGTGCCGTCTCTGATTGGCTGTGACGTCACGAACTCTTCTCTTATTGGTGTGACGTCACTTCCTTGTCCAGAACATACATTGGTCATCTACTAACCAGAAATGACCCCAAGTACCACTTATTCAGAACATAATATTGCAAGTGCACATGTGGATGGGAAACCAAGGGATCAAACAAACGTTGCCTTCTACATCAAGATGGAAGTTTACCAAACGAGGTGGGTAATTATATTTTCAGACCACAGGAAACAGATCCCTGTAAATGTTATGTTTCTATTAGTTCAATTCCTGGTTTTAAAGTAAGTATCTGATCTACTTGTACATTATGTGTATAACGTAAAGGTTTTTGGTGTGAGAGGGTTTCTTACATTAAAATGAGGCATTTTCAGAAAAGTGAGTACTTATATATTGTTATCGATTTATTTGTGAACAGAAGTTGTTAAAAAGAGGGTGGGAATTCCAATCAATAAGCAAAGTCATGCATTCACTCACCACAACCACCGATTTAAAAGCTAATATTCTCAAGTGCTCCAAAATTTATGCAATTAAAAATCATACTTCCTTGATCCACCTCTTCATAATTTTTGCTTTGAAAACGCCTCTTACAGGAAGAGGTCTGCAGTCATCATTAAATGGAATTCCTATTAAAGTTTGTGCTTTTTCATTTATGCACAGTTAATTCAAAATTGCAAACTAAGATCATTACTGAGAAAGAAAAGCAAATAAAATCAAAGGTAAAGCCCACTCGACATGGACCAATAAAAATTGCAATTGCATGCAAGTTGCGAGACTGCAGTTGCATGCAATTTTTATAGCATGAACACTGCATTCTAGGGATAAATCTAGTTGTTTTTGTAGCACCAACCTAATAAAATACAGGGGCGACAGCTATGATACTAAGAGACCCACTGATTACTTTTTTAAAACTTATTTATTTTTGTAATTGCTCCATGTCAAGCGGCCTATGAAAATACAGGCAAAAAAAATTGAAGAGCAGTGCAAAAATGTTAATTGTACTCCATCATTTAGAACATTTTGGATTTAGATCTAAATAAATAAAAAGACTATATAAACAAATAGGTTCAAACATTTGGATAATTTTTTAAAAACATCTCGAATAAAATAAGGGAAAACAATACATTAAAAAAAAGGTAAGGATTCTAATAAATGGTCAACAATTTCCATTTATTTGTCCTACTGAATAAACAGTACTTAAACAAACAAAAGGATCTCATTTACTGCGTTAATCAAATAAATTGTAAATTGTCACAATATTAACATTTCATGTAAAATTAGCAATACATCAAATCTGCATAGTGAGCATATTGCAATATTATGTGTATGTATTTATATTATATGTACACGGTACCTCTACTCTTAAGTTATTGCTTATTACTAATATAAAGCTTAATAATTTACACGATTATTCTACGCAACATAATTATGATACTATCATATACCTCTGGAAGTGTTCTGATTATGTTTTTATGTATATACATAGAGCATCTAAACAGTTAGGCCTATCAAAACATACACGTAATTATGTTATATATTACAGCTAACGATACATTTATGTAACCACATCCGATTCTTCAACAAATACAATACCGAGTTATAAATAACGCCTGAAGAGAAAACCGATTGTTATAATCCATAGGATAAACGCACCGTTCAGTTTTTTAAAAGTCTGCTGTTTACGTATAAACTCCCCACAAACCTCGCCCGCTCAAGAAATAAAAATGTAATTTTCCTCTTTAAAAAATAAAAATATACAAATCAATGCGAAGCCGGCTCGACATAGTTCGCCGGATAGAGACCGACACGACCGTCTTTTCTTCCCTTACACCACCCCTGCTCGTCTTCGTCTTCTAACTTTTCAAAGACATCACCTGAAACGTATCAAATTAGATTTAGTTTGAAGACAGGATTTCTATGGTCTACTTCAAGATGGCGCATACTTCACTATTTTATTGTGTACTTTGCCATTTTAGAGTTCAATCTTGGATACGTACCAGTTTTAAAACTGAGCTCGTCGTTCTCGGCGCCTTCATAATCGTATAGGGCCTTGACAGGTACACCCGGTTCGCCCGTATCAACCAGCGCGTCATTATCATCCCACTCCTCTTCTTCGAAAGGATTCGCCTCGCTCTTACCCGTCGTTCCGTTCCTGCACGACAACTTTAATTCGAATATTTCGATTGGTAGAAACTTACGTGATTGTCGAGTTACGATTTGAAGGACTTTCGACTTTTTCTATTAGTTTGGCGGTCGTTTCCAACTTTTCCTCTCGTACTTCTGTGTTATTTACTGGCGGTTTGCCTTTTGCTGCTTTGTTAACTGCCGAACTATAATCCTAAACACAAAACACTTCCATTATTTATAAAAAGTAAGAATAGAAGGAGGTTGAAAATCGATTTGGTTTTCAAACAATAATGCATAGCATTCTGAGACAATTATAAGGTGTCTTTAAAAGATACTCATTGTAGAATCTGTAAAATTACATCTATGTTACATTATAGGCTCGATTGAGAATGAAATTTTGACACATGCAGAGTGGTAGTCTTCAGTAATACGTATGGCGACTATAGAGAAATGTTTAATAATTAGGATTCTATTTGGCTCAAAGGACCAATTTAATACCCATTGTTTTATTGTGAATATACAAGCTCAAACCGTTTGAGATATCATGAAAATTACAATACTTCCATTTGAAATTATTATAATTAATTATATTTCGCAAAAATTAATATTTATATCTCACATAATACAATAGTTGTAAGGAAACAAACCATACGTACTGTGCTTTGTCACTTCAATTAAACACCTACTCGTTGTTTTCTTGTTAAAGTTTGACGTTCTGTTAATTTAAAGGTATCTAAATTTAAAGTGCAATATATTTGCCAGCCAAGCATTGGCAAGGTTTTTTAAATTTTTCTGTGTTATGTTCTAATTTAACACCATATATGTTTAAGGTAACAAGAAAAAGAAAAATTAAGCTTTCTAACGACTTATCACATGACCTATTTTGCCATTATTAAACAAATTCAAGATGGCGGTCGCACTAAAAAACCATGTATCAAAAGAAATTTTTTAACCTCAAAATATGTGAAATCATTTTAAATGCAGCAATAATTGTCAAACAAAAAAGGTTCAGATTATCGTCGTCTTCAAAGACAGGACATTTTTTTGTTAGGTTAATATAGCGGAATTCACAGAAAAATCACTTTTTTAGATTCCAGTAAAGTCACTAAATATAGAAAGTACCGCAATCGATTAGAATCGTGTGTTAGAGAGAGAACGCATGATTTTTGCCCAAAAATGGCGGAAGTTACCAAATTCTAGTAACTTTAATGTTAGGGATTGTTCCACCTGTTTGGAGATGTCTGTATATATTTTTATAAAACATGACAGTACTATGAAGTTAGGTTATAAAAAATGACAGCTATTCAGATTTTATTTGTCAATTTTTTTAAGTTGGCAGCAAATTTGCCCAAAAATGGCGGATGATTGCGGTACTTTCTATATCTAGTGACTGTAGATTCCAGATTGCAGTTACGCCCCCTAGCGGCCATTTCAGAAACTTAAAAATATTTTCCAGGTTTTTCTCGTGGCCGTTTTAGTAAAAACTTTTTTACGCAAGCCTCTACGATGGACAGGTTCCCAGATACAGTACCTCGCATTCTTATTTGGCCACCCTGTACATTTCTACACATTACACAGAGAAATTCTGTACATAGAGACCTCTTAAAAACACCTTTTGCATTAAAATGACACGGGTGTGAGTGTAAACGATTTTGAAAACAAATTTCATTCCTCCAGTCATGATCAAAATGCAAACTATGTGAAAAAAAAATTAGGTAGCATGGGAAAGTGATTAATTCAATTTACTAAAACAAAAGATGACAACCAAGTCGCTTGATTAATTACAAGGATAACTGTATGAATACTAATCGTTATTTCGTTATCAATCCCCACTTTGCCCCAGTCATTAACTCAGATACAACCGCTAAGGTCACGTCATAAATACTTCGTTGTCATCTTTCAATGAGCAATAAAACTAAAAAAGAAAACGAAAAAAAGCGTACATGCGAATCCTCTCCCACCGGCCGCTGATTAATTAACATAATACCAGATGGCACCGACTCCTTCGATTTACCCTTGTGTATGTCTCGCAACTCTTCCGTATAATCCTAAACAAACATGCAATAACACCAACACAACAAAAATCATATTCAAATTGAACCATGCGAAAATGTCAAACTCGACACGTACCTCGAACTGCGGCCAATTCATAGCCATATTCACACCGTAATTATTGGACCACCATTTCAGGTCCTTTTCGTAATCCGCATTATTAATAGTGTGATATAGTTCTTCGTATATCTGCGGCAACCTTGAAAACGCGCGAATTTAAAAGATGGGAAAGACAAATGAACGCGGCTACTCACGTGGGATCCTGCGATATATTTAAATGTTTGTGAACGTCGAATAATACTGATTTAATAAACTTCAACCTGTCCGTCTCCATGTCCTGGCATTTGTCGAATACTACGGTCATGTCCTCCATGTACTTCGGATTGTAGTTGTTTATCTCCTGTAGAGCTGCCTCGTACTTTTCTTTGGTCTTCTGTACTTCCTCCTTCGATTTTTGCACTCGATCTTGCATTTTCCTTACCTAGAGAAAATTTAGAATTAGTCGACGGTCAACTTTTTAATTTCAAAGCGTTTATAAGCAAACAAAGGGATGTGGAAGAACGTAGACAATTGCTTACCAGAACATTCTTCTGAGTGCAAGAGGAAAGGGAATAGAAATTAAAACTGTGCGGAAATGAAGTGCAAGTCCGCCTACCTGATCCGGCGAAACGGAGGTGTCTCCAGAGGCGTTGCGCTCCTGGTTTGTCGCCGATTTTTCTGTTTTACACGCTGTGTGATAGTCACTTCTCGTTTTCTCGACTTTCTGCAGTAGTTTCGCCCATGGTTTTTGAGCTTTTTTAAATGCGTCTTCCATGTCTTTTCTCTCTTTGATGTGTATCATTGACTGAAATGATATTAATGACCATAATCAGCGCTCAATACATTCAATACAAAACTTTTATCATTACATTTTCCCATTGGGGGAGCACCCTGTATTTTTTTGCATTTTCGAAATCTACATGAAAATCTACATCGTTTGATACCGCATTTCCCTATACCCAGCATCAAAGGTTTTCAAGTTATTCAAGATTTTTCAAAATTTTTTTATTTTTTGACTGCTTTTCTATTTTAAAAAATCGTGAATAACTTGACAACTATTGATGCTGGGTATAAAAGAAATGTGGTATCAAACGACGTAAATGTTCATGTAGATTTCGAAAATCTAACAAAATACAGGGTGTTCAATTTAAAATAAAAAAATTGCTATCCACATCAGGTAAAACCCGAAGTGATAATATTTTCTTTTGAGATCATAAAAAACTATGATCGTATGCAAATTTTCAGATTTAAACTATCAATGAGAGCCTGAATTACTGTAAGGTAACATACAGGGTGAGTTCATTGGGATCTCGGAAACTGTAAGACATAGAGAATTGGTTAAATGAGGAAAGAGTTGTCGTTTTAAAGGCTTATTCAAGATATGTTTTTGTTTTTTTTTAAAAATTCACAGTTTACTAGATATGATCGAAAAACAGATTTAGTGATTTTTCATGTAACTGTTGTAGAATAGTTAGTATTAGAAATACAGAAATATGCAAAGAACAAAAATTGTAGATTTTCTTCCGTTTAATAAGATACATTTATTAATATTCAATGTCAACATTAAGTTTTTTTTGTTAATTATTAAATTTTTGTTAAATTGTCTTAATAAATATAGATTTTATTGGTACCACTGGAAAGCATTTTTCAGTAGCTTTCCAACGATGTGGCACAAGTATGGGGTTGCCATTTAGGATTTTTGAAGAAGGGGGGCTGGGGGGTTAGGGGTTGTCACTCATAACGTCATTCGGTTTCCCCTCGATACCCCCGAAACGGTTTTGCGCGATTTGCAATATCTTCTTTAGTTCGGAAAATATGGCCGACTGCAAGTTTTAAAAGTGACACCCTGTATGTTGGCTGTGTCAGTTTAGGTGCAAATATCTCAATAACAGTGTCGGAGGAGGGCACTCACAGAAGAAGTTTAAGGTACAAGTATAAATTGTGCGCAACTTTTAAACCGAAGTAGCTTAGTAAATAGTTGGGTTATAAGGTAGTAGCATGCTATAACTGCCAAATTGACTTATCCTGTTGGGCTTACAAATTTTTAACGAATAGCCGAGGTATCCTACTGTTGTTCGAATAAGAACCCACATTTTTTACTCCACATCTCGATTCTAATCAGAAAAGTATATTAGGATGTTGTTTGAAACATTTTATTGTCGTGGTAATAGATGGCGCTGTAATCACAGTCGTCATTTAATAGAAAACAATATTAGTACGATCCCTACGCTGTTTGTTAAACATTTTTAAGCCCCTGAGTTATAAAACGGGTGGTATGAACCATCCTGTATATGTTCTATACAGGGTGTGATAATTAAGTATATGAAAAAAGTGGGCGGTACAAAGGGCAAAAACAAGCAATTTTTTCCAAATAAACTAAATGTCTAAAATGCTTCATGTGGGTCCCAAAATTTGGGTCCTAACAGACTGATGAAACTTCAGGCGCTTTCATGAATCTTCACAGATTTTCGGCTCTATAAACTCAAATTAAAATTACAAATGTTAAATGCTTGGAGATGATTATAAAATGTTACAGAATCTAACATGAAGATAGATAGATAAAGAAACTCCTACAATCTACCCCTGAAAAGAAGCTATGTATATCTCGAGCCGCAATGGCAATGACACCAATAACTTCCTCTTTTCTTCTATATATAATTTATGCAGTTAAGTGTTACTTGCGTTAAAACGTACACGCACAAAAAGAAATTATGTGCAAATAAACTTTTTCAATTAATTAAGAGGTAACGGTGCATGTCTTCCAATGAATGCAGATATAGACCTACTGCAAGGTTGAGTAGAAAATTGAATTAGTCAAACTTGTTGCCGCTAATCTAATTGCTGCCTGATTCCACAGATGGCGCCATTCCACATTGAACCATCTTGTCCCAAGAATTGTTAACTTCAGGTCTAAACTCAATAAACCGAATAAGTAAGACGTCCAAGGTCGAATAAAGGAAATGCTTGCAAATACCACAAATTGCATACTTACTTAAAATGCACAAAACAGCAACAATTTCATACTTAAACATAATTGCAATAAAAGTGATGTAACCGAAAATGTAGGTTGCCGACATCTTACTCACCTTATGATAAGTTTCCTTCTGCCAATTCTTAACTTTGGGAATGATTTCATTACACAAATTATCCTTAACTTTATTATGCACATCACACCGCCTATCGGCCTCTCCGAGCACGCCCTTCCACGCCGCCTCCGTCGTACCGTACTCGGGACCCTTCTCGATGAGATCGTTCCACTTCTTCGACCACGCTTTCAAATTTTTCGCGTAGCCCTTTTCGATCTCGGCCCTCTCGTTGACGAGCGTTATTAGGTCGCCGCACAATTTGTAACCGTCCTCGATGCGTTTCGTCGTCTTTTTGTAGTTGCCCGGCTCCCAAAACGAATCGCTCGTTGGTATTAGCATATTATCGTCACTGTGGTGCGACATTATATCGTCGTGTTGCCTTAGGATCAGTTCTGAAACGGGAAAGGCGTGTATTTCTAAATGGAGGACGCTTATCATCTCTTATCATACGAATGGAATCATACACAAACATCAATCGTACAAATTAGATTTTTTTTTGATAAGTTATCGATTTAGGTTTACGCATGTATTCATTTGTTCACAAAAACTAGGTAGGCAGAGCGAATTATTAAGCTGCAATTTCGAAAAAACCTTCAACTAAGGGGTCACATGTGGTAGGTACACGCCTACTTTATCCAGTATCTCACGCACAAACTGTCTAGTTCATAAATCATATGCTCCAAAAACAAATGGAACCCAAGGAAGATAATTCAAGAATTATCCGGAGAGCTCTGAGAAAATCGAAAGCGATCAGAGGAAATTCAAAGTAAATTTAGGATATTTTAGAACAGTGGTTCTCAACCTTTTAGACACTGCCACCCTCTTTTTAGGTTGAGTGGGTATTTGGTAAATCGCGTTCTGCCAACCTCCAGTGGGGTGGCAACCCACCGGTTGAGAATCACTGTTTTAGATGACCCAAAGAAATAAATATCTGAATTTGCTTGGTGGTTGGTGAAGGTTTGCTGCTAGGTTGTTGCGAAGATCTGATCTCTGTCTCCTCTGCTGGCTTCTCAGACACGAGGTGAAAACGAAAAGTTTGACTTTTTGGAATGTCGGCGCTTACTACCCATGTAAGATAGAAATTTTTACGTAGAATCCAGTAGCTTAAAATTTTTTGGATCAGGGTTTCTAAGATTTGACCCAAAGTTACTACTTTTTAAATGCAACATCCTGTATATCTTACCGCCAACTGCTTGCAATCTTTTATCGATTGGTGTCAGCTGCCATGGATACAATAAAAAAACAAAATATCCATGAATCCATGGCTTACTATGTAAAAGTCGTGAAAAATAACGTTTTTATTTTTGGTTCATAGCAAAAATTTAAAAAATATAGGTTGTGATCTCGATTGTGATACAATTATACTCAAGAATGCAAACAAATTGACGTTAAAGTGTACAGGGTGTTGCAATACTTTAGGTCAAATCTCACCTTTTTGACTACGCCACTGGATTCTAGGTAAAAATATTTAAAATAGGTAGCAGTTTTTATCTTCGATGGGTACTAAGATATGATAACATCCCAAAAGGTCAAACTTTTCATTTTCACCCCGTATCTCAGAAACAAACGTAGCTAGATTGATTCCGTCTGTGGTATTAAATGTCTCACAAAAAGGTGGCGCGGGGTGGCGAAACCTGCAAGTTAAAAAAAACAGCCGAGATGTCTCAACAAAAATAGGACCCACCTTGTGTTTTCTGAACTTTTTTCTATTGGTTTACCCTGGTACACATCCTGCATCTGCTATAAAGTAAAATCCTAATTTTGACTTAAAATTTTTCAAATCTGGTGACTCGACGCCCTTGATCAACTTCCGACAATTCCAAAAAATTGATTACACAAATTTAATTAATCTATGGGGGACCAATAAAAAAATCTGACATGAAGACCCTATCTGGGTCGCACAGAGGGTTCAAATAAACACACAAAACTGCCTCCTCAACAAAACAACTAGGGCTGAACGTCCGAGATTTGGCGTAAACACTCTCTTTACCGTCGCGAAGGACTAACAGCTAGCAATCGCCTCGTTTTTACGTTAATTACCGTATAATTACCGTACCGTCTCCTTCAGAATTTTCAAAAACACGGCCAATCACGGCTGATAACGCCAGTTTCGAAGGAATGCGCCCCCACTTACGCCGAACTAACGCGCACATCGTAACATCTGCATCTAACAGCGATAAGAACGAGTGCGTTAATTAAATTTGATCCGATAGCAAAACTTCTTATCGCAAACGACCAGATGTCACTACTTCACGTTTTGCAATTAAATACACAAATCTAAATAAACAATTGACAAAAGCGGCGAACTTTAAACAAGAAAAACAACACAGAGACACAAATTCAAGTAAAATAAACCAGCTGTGTGCGTATTCCTAAATAATCCCCTTGATTTACAATAACTAAAGTTTGACTTCGACAAATTGGGATTTCGATTGTTTCTCCTAATGGAGGATTTCCCCGATTTTCATTGGCAGTTTTCGATTCGCAAAGCCACATCGATTCTAGATTCGCGAAATTAACGCGGATCGAAATAGAATGGGTGTTTTCGAGGTTGTTAACAGTATTAAAAAGTCATCATCCCACGCTATATTTGGCGCATTATGTAACTAAGCTGTACGTAGAACGATCCAAGCTCGTGTTAATGGAATGGTAATTTTCTAATATTCTTTCGGCTAGACGTACAATATGCATAATTTAATTATACAGTAAATGTAGGATACAATGAGGATTAACAGTTATAGGACTTCAGTTCCTACTCGGTTTTATATTTTGCTTGCCGCTCGAAACAGTTATAAACAACATTATAATATTTATAAAGAATAAGGAAATTTTCTTGGAGTTCAATAATCCGTATTTGTGGTGCGATGAATGTAATTTTTTTTCACGTCGGATACTCATCAATATATCATCATGTTTTCGGTTGATTCATCGACAACCGTTTAATTTCGCGCGTAATTAGATGTTAAAAATAGGCTCGCGGCATTGAAACGTATCAACAGGACGTAAAATCGAACGGTATCTTTCGACGGAGGTGCTTTTGCGAAAATTCCATTCGCGTTCGCGCTTATTAGTCAAATTAACGAGATGAAACGGAAGGAGTCCCGCCTTGCGTTCGAAAGAAAATTGGGAGCACTCGACCTAAATATTTCGTTGCTATCGGTTACATGCGTCAATAAATTCGCATCGCCTTTTTTATTTTCGAGGCAATTGAGATGAACATTTCAATAGATTCGAGTTTATTGGCGGATATTGTACTTTTCCAAAGTTTTGTGATAAATTTTTGAAAATTCAGAGATTCTTCAAATATCTCGATTGGGGGATACTGAAAACCGAGCAGGATAACCCTATAGACTCATGCACACCACCGTTCTGATGTGGATACCGTCTTTCAGAGAATGAAGGAGAAACATCATCTCTTTCCCACGCAGTTGCCAAACCGTTCACAGTCCTCATCCATCAGCTTCGGATCCGACATTTGGCAACAACTAAATGTATTCAGTATGCTGTCTAAGGCCGGCCATACACGTTGCGGTGGACCGGAGAGGCATACCTGTACAGTTTGTCTTTCTTTGACATCGCTGTCCCTTTTCGTTCTCGAGTTAGACGATGAACACTAAAACGCTACACTCATACTGATATCCAATCCCAGGAAAGAATTTTAATTTATTCTATAATCACCTCACTATATCTTTTGAATAGAGCAAATCTTGAAAAAAACTATTTGAACAACAATTGAAAGAAAATGGTGTTACAGGTTTCGAAAATTCGGCCAATAAAAAATGTTCATTTGATTTGGGGGGGGGGGGGGGGGGGCCTTAATAATAATAATAATAAATGACTTTATGAAACATTTTCTATAGATCCTGTCTAAATGGTGGAGTTCGGATACGGGTAAATATCCGTGTCTGCTCTTCCACTCAACCCTTAAAAAATAAGTTGACATTTTTCTTCTTTTATTAATACATCTCGAGTTTCCATAGGCTATTGCACCTAATGCTAGTCACCCCATATTTTTAACCATTGATTAACCATGAATCACCGTTTGTGAAACCGGCCCATAGTCCCGACAAAATAAAACCCACGTCATCTGAGCAGAGCAGAATCTCTCTAGAAGGGGGAGATATTGTTATTGTATCCCAATATCCATTAAAAGTAACCAATCTTATCGGGAGCCCTATCTTCATTCTGTCGCCGTTTAGATTGGAGGACCATCGTTTGATTACATTACATCTAACCACTCACCACAGACTGTATACGATTAAATCCCTTGCTTCCGTTATTTAGAGATATGACGTTCTCTCATTGACTAACGCTACGCCACAAAATTATTGCAATATCAGAAAAAGGGGCCCATTTGAAAATCACGTGACACATTAATAAATGGCGCCGGCATGATAAGGTAGACGGAATCAATGTTTGCGTTTACAATTAAATAGATACTTAATTACCAGTGTCACTTACGTAAGAGACCATTGCGTCACCGTCCTTTCAGATAGACGATCCTGAAAATTTGCAATCTGGAGGGCCCCAAGGATCTACATTTGGGCCGTTGCGGTTTTTTGTCAGTTCGCAATTTACACATGTACTTAACCATTTTAATAAAAAGACTGGGAAATTCAAACGTGTAATTGTGCATACTAAAATATTCATCGATTTTCTATAAACAAAAGACAATCACTTAGCATTCGAGAAACGAACTTGGATTGGAATACTTAATTGGATTTAGCTTTCGCTACTCGTCGTTATTTAGATAGCGTGAATAATTTGTTCTTGACGAGACAATTGAAAGTGACATAACTGGTGCATCAAAAAGATCGGATTAACGTTGTTGTAAAATTGAAGTAATAGACTTGTTACCGAGTCCGTCTCGACTCTTGCAAGTATTTAAATAGCGGATGACCCTCTGTTTCGCAAACGATTAGAGTAATAAATTAATTGAACTGTTGTTTAATCAATCCTGTAATGCTAACAATTCCATTCAAGGTGAGCGAAACAAGAACGTTTAAAACATTGGTGGAATTACGTTCTACCCCTGATTTCTTCACTCAACGGTTCTGATCGATATTAAATTATTAGCGTTAGACGTGGCCGTGGTCATTTATCCGTGTTGAAAAGACGTCCACCGGCATTCCACATGGATCTCAATAGGGTCCTGAACTATTCGCCACGCTTTTCTATTAGCAATTACTACTGTATCCGCAGAAGGTATATTGTGATTGACATAATCACAATACATATCTATTGTAGTGCCGACAATGTACCAAATTAAAAATAGGTACATACAACTCACTTAAGCAATTTAAAATTATAATGAACAGTAAACGTAAATAAATAAAAATATTATTGTTCAAACCAATATACAGGCTGGTTTGTCCGGTCCCTGGTTTCTTAAAAAAAAACTGAATTTCTACCAAAAAGATTATGCTCTACTTCCGGAATTTGTTATCAACTTTCATACTTTCAACCGCTCTTTCTTTACTTGGATTGCGCAAGTGTCTAAGGATGGTAACCACTTTCTATGCGTAATCGTATTAGTTACGCCTATTTAACAAACAATCGGAGGATTTCCACGGATCGTGGCACTTTTAATTATGGCGAATGAGATTAGGCGAGGATATTTCGATATGCAGGTGAAGCGCCGGAACAACCCAATGATTGAATTGTTCCTAGTTTTAACGGCGAACCCGAGCCCCCCCCCCCCCTGATTAAAGTTACATAATTAATACTCGTTGATATCGTTCGAACAGGGTTCAACCAATTGACAGTTGCCTAATCTAACCAGGTCAAGATAAGTCAACGAAAAGGTTCTTCTGATTGCGTCGCACGTAATCAAAGATGAGAATTGGGTGTCGCCATGAAATTAGGAAATATTTTGTTTCTGTTCTGTGCCCATTACGAAATTATTCGAAATATAACACATCAATTTCGAGTCAAAAATTTTGTTGATTCGGTTGGAAGGACCGACTGGAATATTTTCTTAATCAGCAAAAATAACTCGAGAACGTCACTTACGTCCTCCATTCCTGTGGATCCGTCTGTCTGTGTACAAGAAAGCTTTCAACTCCGAATTTTTCAAAGTTTTCCAAAATTATAAGAAGGGAATGATGAAATATGCGCCATTCTGTTCGGATGTGTCAGAAAAAAAATTCGAGAAGGGAGGGGTTGACTATAATCC